TTAATAGAAAAGTTAAGTGAACCTAGAGGCCTGAAGTCATTAAAAATTTCTAAACTCATCAAAAAGGTTCATTAACATCCTTGTACCAAAAAAGAATTCATAAAAATCCTTGAACTTTGGTAAAGAAGCCAGGCGTGGTTCCTCCGTCAACTGCCGTTAACTAGGTGCTGACTTGATACTAACGATAGCTTAGATGACGCTAACGAAGTTAAAAAACTACTGACATGGCATTCAAAATACCTTTTTAACTTTTCACACGTATAACAAATCCAGTGCTTTCTAAATGTATTTATAAAAAATTGTAAAAAACCTAAAAAAAAAAAAACTAATTTAGGTCTCAAATTTGGGAGAACCCACTCAGAGCTAAGAAGTGAAATTGAGGTTCTCAATTTATTATAATATTATATACACTTTGATTTTCAATTTGAAGAATAATGGTGAATGTATTTGTTTGCAAATTTGGAAGAATAACAATAGTGGGGTCTTTCAAATCAAGTGTCTGATCCTATTTATGACTATCTTACATAAAGCACAACACATAAAGGAGGAATTTTCTTATGCTCAGAGTAGGCTTTCAATTGCTCATAATGCGTTTCCATCTCCCATTATAGGTTTTTCATCAAATCCTTGTCATTGGTGTTCTCTTAATACCGTGGAACTGATATTTGATATATAATTATTATTATATATTTTTAATTTCTTTATTTACCTAAATAAAAAAAGTGATCGGCAACGCAGGTGACATCTTTTTATTTTCCTCTCTTATTTTTCTTTCGTTTAGATGAAATTCCTTTTTATTTTAAAACTTTTACTAATTAAATAGATAAATTACACTTGACCCTTGAGGCTAGTGGCATTTGCCAGCCGATGCATCCTCAGGCGGGTTTGAAACCCATCCCTTGCAAAATATGTTCAAAAAAAAAATTTAATAGATAAATTTTCATTTATTTTCTTCTCTTTCCTCTTATTTACCTTTCTCAAATTAAATATATTACTAATTTTTTAACTCAAATTTTAAAATTTTTAACTTAAAATCTTAATCTCGAAACATTTCTTCAAGGCATTTATTTGCCTATTAATTGTTTAAC